AAGTCAAAGTTAATGATAATGGCAGAGTTCAGGAAAATCAGACTCGTGTCATCAACACATCTAAGCGTAATGCAAGATGAAAGCGATAGAAAAATTGAAAAAGTGACAGAAGGAAAGGGATGAAGGCATTATTTAGGAGCCAACAGCAGTGTTCAGACCCAAGAGAGAAAGTAAAATCAGGAGAGGACAGGTGCATTTGAATAAAGATGAGGGCGACAGGCTCCTCTCCACTCCTGAATACCACACACTTACCATCGACTTTGAGTGGACGGGGGAGGACATGAATAAAAATGAGTGTGGCTACCTCACTGTACTCCCACTATGCCTTCACATGGAAAAGGTGAAATGCATTACGTGCATGTTTAAAGGATTAGTTCACTCAAAAATGTAAATTCAGTCATCATACTCACCCTCACGCTGGTCTAAACCAGGGACTTTTTTAAGCTTCAAAAAGGACACAAAAGCATAGTAAAAATATAAAATCTGCATTTATACAACTCATATGCTTATATTACAAGTCTTCTTAAGTGTGAAGAACAGACTAAATATTAATTCATCATTCATTGATTATTCAGTGAGCTGTTAACTATTGCAAAAGGACCCTTTTCACATTTCTGGGCTTCTCAGAAGCAGAAGTCGTCATATTTGGGTAAACTTCTATAGTGGTGAACGGAAACTATACAACAAATATATTTTTTGTCTTCATTTGCACCAAAAGCAAAATAAAATAAAAATGTGTGTGGGTGTGAAGTCAAATTTTCCATTATATTAGAAACAATCACACAGTAGCGATAAGTAGTTTTATGTAATTTAATGCCAAGGTACAGGTCCCAGTTCTTGACGGCTATAGAAGGGTGGGCTGGCAGATATCCTGGGTGGGCATTTTTTAGTCATCATATCATCATATATTCTAGAAGATATTTATACTGAAGATATTGCTATATTAACTACCGGTATATTATATGTACACTGAAAAAAGCTTTAATGGGCAGCCTAGAATATCATGCACTTTCACAGCAAAATAAACATTTTATTTTTTTATTGAATATAAAAAAAAAAAAGCCCTCTTTGTTCTCTTTCTCTGGATCATTGTGTCCACATTGGTGATTCTTTTCAACTAACTTTTTTATTTATACCAAACAAGGCCGTAATCAAGTCTAGAACATTGGGGGGACCAATTATTTTGAGGAAAATATAAAGACCAGACATCTATGGTAATGGTACTTATTTAAAGAAACTAAATAAATAAAGGATTTAAATGGATCTAGGGGACTAAATTAAAATAAGAAAACAGAACAGTAAAAGAACAAGAATAAGATTTTTTGTAAAGTAGGCTAATCAATCTGAACTGCAAATAATATTTTTATTTTAAAATATGCACCCATTCAATTTCAGTTGTATTGTTGAAAACGCAAAACAGAAAAATGCTATTGTCATAATCAATTATGAATTAGGCTACATGAATCACGTAAATGACAGACCTACTTTCTATTCAAAACTGCGGAATTTGACATAAAAAGTTGAATAGTTTGCATCACTGGTCGTTTACGTCATAGAAGTGGAACGCTACGTTTCTCAGTCGAGCCGACTGTTGCTATAGTCACGAACGCAACTTTCATCACACAAGCTCTTTACTTTAAGTTTCCATTTTTCCATTCAGCATTAACAGCAAGCCAAAAGGCGTAAACTTTCAACTGAACTGTATAGCCTACATGCATTTTAGACATTTATATTATAGTCTTGCCCCGTCCATGCAATGAATGCACGTTACTGAATGAGCGGGTTTTTTATAACATTAAAATTGCTCAGGTTATTTCAATGGTAGGCTATGATACATATTCATGTAGCCTATTAAACTCCCCGTAACTCGCAAACTCCCCGTTTTCGCTCGTTGTCATGCCTCTGCTTTTTTGCTACAGACTGAAGCCGCGTGAATTCAGCGTGCCTTGCATTCAGCTAATAAAAGAAAAATGCTGTAATTTTCTGGTGTTATTTTATTATTGTTGGGGCAGTCTCCAGCTATATCTTACACTTCTCAAAATACAGTCCACTTCAGATTGGTTTTAATCACTGCATACAAAAAAGTAATGCAATCTTTATCTAATTCTGATTGGGTGGGCAAGACTGTCATTTGGGTGGGCTCAGCCCACCTCTGCCCATGTCTGGAGCCGGCCCCGCCAAGGTAAGAAAGCAAAGTATAGCATTATAAATGTAAATCAAATGTTTAACAATGAAAATATAAAAAACGTTGCTAGATTCGAGTTAAACATGGAACAACAGAACTAATCTAATTTGTGAAGAAATCTTTCAGGTTTTGTGAGCTCACTGGTTCACAATTTCATTGGATAGATCTGACTGAAAAGAGCTCGTTCATGAATCTGAATACTCTCATGAAGCACAAGGAGAACTCAAGTGAATATCAGGGTGTTTTCTTTTTAGTAAACTTATGTTGCCGTTTTGTCATTTTGGAAATTCTGCAGCTCACATCCTCATTCATTATACTGAAAAGAGTGGCAACGATGTACTTCACAAATGTACCTTTCTGGTTTCACAAGACAGAAAGTTAAACAAGTTTGAAAAGGCAGGAGTAAATAATGACAATTTTCATTTTGGGTGAACCGTTTCTTTAAGAGTACAGCTATGCATGGAGAATCTGCAAATGACATGTACTCTGTGATATGATTGTTTCTGTATGCTCATGTAGGCACATTTATTTATTTCTGCCTAGAATGTACCAGTTTATTGGTGTGAAACACAAAAAGCCCACAGTGCTCACTGCTCAGCTTCGAGAACATTGATTAAGTGAGGGAATTATGCCAGTATCATTCAAATTCCCACCTGCAGAGTCTGATGTTTGCACAGGACAACATCAGAGCAGAGAACAGCTACTGATCTCCATTTGGGAAATAAGCAATGCAGCAGTGAGGCAGGGGACTGCTGTGGGGGTCAGCCATTACAGAAATCTGGAGAGATGCGTGGAGCATGCCGAACATCCTTCTAAATGGTAGTCGAGCAGCAGGAAATGGCAGTAAACAAACTTTGTGCCCACACAGGCCTACGCACAGGGAGAGGGAAGACTGAATTATGTAAACAAGACCATTATCTTCAAGTGAAAGGATGAACAAGTTACCGCCCATGCTATCAAAAGACCCAACATGGTTTTTCAGGAAAAATAACAAATTAAGAATTGACGCATCAAAAACACAGTACTGCAATTTAGTCTGAAATATACATAATATATGTGATCTTGCCTTTTTTGCGATTTACTGTTTTCTACATAAAATCATCCTTCATAAATATGTAGAACATTCTGTGAAAATATTACCTTTATATCTTTAATATTGACTGAGCAAGGCCATGTCAAAGATTGAAATCATAGTGAAATTAATGGTTGAAATCAAACTTTGATGCTTGTTATCTCATAATTAGATTTTGAGACTTTAGCCTGGATTTCACAGACAGGGTCACATATTTACACAGCCGTTATAATAACCGTGTACATCATTAATGGCACTACTGATATTGCTCATAATTTACACTATCATTCAAAAGTTTGGGGTCGATACAATTTTGTGTTTGTTTTTAAAAGAAGTCTCTTATGCTTACCAAGGTTGCATATATTTGATCAAAAATGCACTAAAAACTAATATTGTGAAATAGTATTACTATTTAAAATAACCATTTTCTATTTTAATGTAATTTATTCCTGTGATGGCAAAGCTGAATTTTCAGCAGCTATAACTCCAGTTTTTAGTACCACTCGATCCTTCAGAAATCATTCTAATATGGTGATTTGGTGCTCAAGAAACATTTCTTAGTACTGGTATTATTAATGTCAAAAATATTTGTACTAAATATTTTTGTCGAAACCATTATACATTTTTTTCCATACTTTGATGAATAGAAAGATACAAAAAACAGTATTTATTTGAAATAGAATTCTTTTGTCAGATTATAAATGTTTTTAATGCAGCTTTTGATCAATTTAATGCATCCTTGCTGAATAAAAGTATTAATTTCTTTCAAACAAAAAAAAAGAGAGATGCATCAATGCATGTAACTTGTCCCATTTGTGGTACGGTCTCAAATCATGCAAGAGAGGTGTGCTATTACTTTTCTATGCTATATGACTTACCATTTTAGCTAGAGGATGATAAAATGAGTGAAAAAATCGAATAGACATTGAATGAAAAAAAAAGACACCAAGCCATATCAGAGATGAGAATATCATAAAGATTAAGGCATGCGCTTTTGGGGTTGAGCAATCACCCATAACACCATCGCAACAGCTTAGCAATGCACTAAATCCCCCTCAAAACACCTTTTATACGGTCAAGCAGCACTCACATTTTTTTAAATGATAAAATTCTGCAACTACAGGACTTTCATTGTCAGAAAAAGATCTCACAGATTATTATAGTTTTGAAAAGGGGAAGGATTCATGCACGACTCACTACAGTGATTCAGAGATACGTGACTTGAACCCTGCTGATCCCTTTTCTACATGATATTTAAAAATAAAAAAAAAACAGACAGTGGTGGGGGTGGAGCTTCAAGTGTATATGAAGACAAGCGGGGCATAAGCTAGCAAAGAGGGATGGGGAAGAGGAAAGCCGTATGAGGTGGAGCCATTAATTAGTAGGTCAAAGTAATTAACAGCAAGACACAGTTCATTTAAAAAGAAAGTGTCCACACCCAATAACATGATTTATTTCTGTCAAACCGTGAAACACGATTAAAATTATGGTGGGGTAATTACCATACAACCACTCTTAACAAAATAAATTCACAAGACAGTAATAAGTACACGTGGAAAAAACAAAAGCAACTGTGCTCTTCCATTATACCATCAAATAAAAGAAAACCACCACTATAGGGTGCAATATTGGCCGTTTACATTTATGAAAAACCTCACTGTCAGAACAAAGATGTGAATTATGCTAAATAATTCAGTTTAAGATGAAATCCCTTATCTGTGCATCTTAACAAGGTTTTTTTCCCATTAATGGCACTATTATTGAATGGTTAGGTGTGCCTGATGTACCTCAGTTAATTATAAAATGAGGTTTTTGAGGAATTGCTAGAGAAGAAATCCTAGAGAAGAAAAACATCTTGAGAGTGTATGGAGGGTGTGTGTGAACATGGGACAGTCTGTTTTGATCAGTGAATATGTCTGCTCTCTTGTCACCGTTTCATGTTGCTCAGACGCACACTCTTCTCCAACTCAAACTGAAGGCAGTCCAGTTTTGGGGAGCTACAGGCCAGGGATCTGAAAAAAAATTCCACCTATGTGACAAGGAAAACCGAGAGTGTATGGAGGGTGTGTGTGAATATGGGACAGTCTGTGTTTTGATCAGTGAATATGTCTGCTCTCTTGTCACCGTTTCATGTTGCTCAGACGCACACTCTTCTCCAACTCAAACTGCCGCTGGTCCACTCGCTCTAGGAAGTTCTTTCGCTCCACGTACCTACAGACACAGAGAGCAGAGACAGTGAGGACACTGAGATAATGGTGGAGGAAATAAAGCACATGTAAACAAGCCCTTGGCAAGAATGACAGTGACACAAACACTAGGTCTTGCTCTGTTCCTTGTGTCAATGACTACATACACTGAATATCATCTTTTTGCAACCGTTGTACACTGCATCTCTAGTGATGCTTTTCTAAAGCATTCTTTCAGTGCTTTTGTTGCCGTTTCCCATTGTGTCTTGGAACGAAACAGGCCGTGAGTGGGGACAGTGGGGTGTTGGTAAATGTCAGCACTTAGGTGGTAAAGTGATTTTTACACACATATTTGTTTCTTTTTTTAGGCATGCTGATTTCACAATGCTATTACCAGTCACAAGTGGTTCGCATTTGTGAAGGACCACAGAATTCCACATTTTGGATGTCATTCTTTTCTGACATACCCAGTTCAGCTTTTGAAACATTTACTCGCCCTCATGTCGCTCCAAACCGGCATGACTTTAGTTCTTCTGCAGAAACCAAGACGATATTTTTTTAAATAATTCTGGTTTTGTCCATATAATGAAAGTCAATGGGGTCTAATTTCATTTTATAGATAAAAAAAACAAACACTGAGACGTTTTATTTTTAAATATATTCTTTTGAGTTTCACAGAGGAAAGAAAGTCACACAGGTTAGATATTTATATTGCATAAACGGCAAGCTCAAATGATCTAAGGCCAGAATTTGTCTCAGACAACACAATAGTGGCTTTAGTGAACCTGTATCCATTAGATGTCGGAGGTTATAGGTGCATGTATTCAGCCTCCCTGTTTATTGTCATTACAAGACTCGCTGGTGCTCAGAGTAAGAGCAGATCCTGAGGACAACCCTTTCAGGCTGACATCATCTGGTTTTCCTCATGATAGTCTGGGTTCAGGTTCAGGGAGCTGGCTGATGATGAGCAGAGAGGGGCATCTCCTACACAAAGCTTTATGTGAGGTCTAAATGAATTGTTCTGTAGAGCACTGTGCACACTAGGAAATCCCTTGTGTGAGACATGTGAGGCTACAAAGCAGAGACCGAACATTTTATTAGATATCACATCAGGCCCCTGCCAATGATGAAAAGAAGACAGAGAGCAAAAACTGATTGCCTGTGTCTTGTTTGAAGTCCTAATGGGATCTCTGTGAAAAACACACAAATACCCACATACTTACAAACACAATCTGGCTTGAGCAACACACTAGGCTTAAATGGGTCATATCATGTTTTTTTTACAGTTGGCATGAAATAACATTTCTCTCATTTTTAAATGCTCTTTTTGTGGATGATTCTATGCATGTGTTTTATTATTTATTTATTTATTTTCATTTTACCTTTTGTCAGTTATTAGTTTTATTTAGATATTTCTATTCAGCTGTAATTTATTTTTATTTCGTTTTAGTAAAGTTCACATAAATCCAAACATTGTAGCTTTACAGTTCATTCATCTGCCACCACATATTGAGTGCAATGCCAAAATCTTAAAGCCGAAAAAACAACCGATGGATTGAAGACCCCTCCCTACATATTTTCTTTTTCGATATCCCCTATTTTTTTGCATCAAAACGGTCATAAATTAGTTTATGACCATTTTTCCCTTGTCTTTGACCTTTACAATTGCACTACAATTTGCTGCACTTATACATGGGCTAAAGGTTTGATGTTGGGTCCAACATAGCTTGTGTGCTGCCCCTTATTTTAATGCCAGATTTTTGAAAAGAAATGCATTGTGCAATTATTCCGCGGCAGGTTCTCATAATCAAATATGACACTCAACCATGTCAAAGTGAAATTATCAGGGACTCATCGGGAGAATCTGCCGAGCAGTAGGTGCTACACACAGTCAGGAACAGCACATGCATTTCCACATTTTACTCTTATCGTTTGTCCTTTTCAGGAATAACAGTATTATGTTTCGAAACACAGAATAGGCATCTTTGAAGAGGTAATTTTGTTGGAAGGGAGGACGCTTTGCATTCTAAAAAATCCAATATACAATGATTCAATACTGCACTAAATTCTTTTTTAATTAAGGAACAGCTGATTTTTCATGATATGAACCATTTAAAAGCTATTTTAGTTTTTTGTTTACCTAGTTAACTAGGTACTTTTGGGTACTTAGTTAAACTCTGTAAAGACACTGAAACGTTGAATCAAACATTGTGCTTCCTGCCTGCTGTGTTTGAAGAGCACAATCTGTCACAGGTCTGCTCTGTTCCCCCTAAATCCCAGCAGAGGGTCACTCTCCCCAGTGTCTCAATCCCTTGATGCTCTGGAAGCTCTGATGGCCAACCAACCCTTTGCCTCCAGAGACTTGAGGCCCAGGGTGTACCAACTGCGTTAGCTCTGACAGATCTGGGTGTATTTGTCGTCCTACATTTTCTGAAAAATTATAAGATCTTCAACCATCAGTCTCACACGGAAAACAGCCCTTACAGTCCTGTGGGAATACAGTTTGGCCTAGCGGCCTGTGCACTATGCTATTCTCTGGTCTGTGCGTCCTCCACACACTTCAGCGATCCTCCTCTTAAACCACATCCCTCTCAGAGAAACAGAAATATGGAATCAGTGGCAAACCATAATTTTTTCTGCTTTATTTTAAACCCCCAGGCCAGGTTTTTAATTTAGTAACGGTTCCACGCCCTACAACTGTCTGATAGAGAACTAACACAGTTCTTTTCATCCATATATTAAAAATGAGGAGCATCAGGCCCTTTTAGGAAAGCCAGAGCATCAGTGCTGAGTGTGCAGTGAGATTTAAATGGAAAGCTTACCCAAAAATGTAAATTCTGTCATCATTTAATCACTTATTGCAAACCTTGTATGGCATTCTTCAGATTTTAAAGGATGTTTTCTGTTTTTGTCCATATAATGAAAGTCAGTAGGGTCCCCACTGACCATCATTGTATAAATGGGGGAAAAAAAACAAAAAAAAATTTTTTTTTAAATAAATGAATAAATAAAATTTTCAAAAAAATCTTCTTTTCTGTTTCACAGAAGAAAGTAAGTCAATCATAAAGGTTTGAACAACATGAAGGCGAGTAATTGATGACAACATTTTCAATTTTGGCTGAACTATTTCTTTAACTTTACAATTGCATAGCAAGGAAGTAAAACAGAATGGCAATTGGATGCACAAATCATGTCATTGTATATCACCATCCCCTCAGGACAAGATGCGAAGTTTCTCCTCCCACATCTCCCTGCTTGTTTTTACACCAAATGCATCTTGGGATTGGGGTTACGTCGCACAAATGTGGCACTGCATTACCCCAGAGGAATGTAGGATGGGTAACTATGGTGACAGGGCTAGTTTAGATGGGTATTCACAACACAGAGGAAAGCAAGACAACAACTAAGTTGATGCACTACTAAGATAACCTATAGCCACAGCTGTGGCACGAAACCCAAGAGACCTCACAATTACTCAGCTCCCAAAACAAACCCATCGGTGTGCATAAACTCACCATGAATGAAATCTAATCATGACCATGGAGTGGAGAGACAAACTTTGTGTGTGTAGATCTCAATTATGGCCTTGTTTAATTTCCGAAGTCTTTTGAAGTCTAAAAACTGATCTGTAGATTACTAGTACTACAGTCGGTCCTGACAGGGTAAGTATACTTAATCTATGAACTTTATTTTCAATCCCTTAAACATAATCATTTGTATCTTAATGTTGTAATTTGCCAGAAAAGACCATGAATTTAGGTTTGTGGTAGCAACTGTAGCGTCTGCGTAGAATCATGCATGATCTTTGGGTTTTATGGCTTAAGAGACCCTTTTAGCTTTTGACATTTAGAAACCATCTGTACAGTGTATGGTTCACTCTCTATCATCTCTGTATGTACTTATTCTCCATTACATCAGGCATAAACCTTTTCACTGTTGACTTTTAGGTATTAATTATACATCTGAGATGAATGAGGTATGTTGAGGGAATCGATAAAGGGGTATGTCTCTTGGATCAGATATTACTAAAATGAAAACCTCTTTCAGAAACCCCATCCTTAATATTAGGGAAAGGAGGGTGAGAACAGCACTTTACTCTTGCATGTTTTATTTATTACTTTGATGGAATGAAATGGAGGCCTGATCATGTGTTGCATATTTTCTTGTATAGAAGAGACGTGGGCAAGAATGTCCTGCACACTTCTGATTGGTCAATTAGGAATCAACCAAAAATATACTAATATACAAAGGCGTTCAAAAAAGTCCACTTGTGACGAAGCTTCTAATTAGCATTTTTCTCATTTAAAACAGCTTTTTCCATTGCAAAAAGTTTACACGAATTTCAAAATGTTCTAGTGTGTGGTTTGTCATCCTTTTGCATTAATGGCAGCAGATCTTGAGTAAGGTTGTGACGGTGAGGAAATTTTCCCACCGGTTAATCGACGTGTGATAATACCGGTATCACCGTGGGGGTGGGGGCATTTCCTCTTTTCCTCGCTTTCCTTCACTTTTAAATAGCTTGTAAAAGCGGCGTGCGCATTTTACTTTCACTTTCAAATAGCGGCAATTCGGCAATCGACGTGTGACAACACCGGCAATACCGGTATTACCGCGGGGGCATTTTCTCTTTTCCTCGCTTTCCTTCACTTTTAAATAGCTTGTAAAAGCGGCGTGCGCATTTTACTTTCACTTTCAAATAGCGGCAATTCGGCGTAAAGCAATTGTTCGTTTTTAGTTTGTTTGAATTTTCCCCCTTTTCCTCGCTTTCCTTCGCTTTTAAATAGCTTAAAAGCGTCGTGCGCATTTTACTTTCACTTTCGAATTAGCGGCAATTTGGCGTCAATTGCTTGAATGCAACAACAAAATACAACGTCAAACTCACTTTAGCCTATATATAAAACATAGAACTTTTATTAACATAACGAATAAAAATAAACCATGCTATAGGTCAGGCTATGCCTAATATAAAATAACTTACATAAAGTTTAAATAGGTATACAAAACTGGAAATGCGTAAACGTATAATATATAACCAAATAAATAAGAAACATAGAACGTTTATTAGCAAAACGAGTAAGAAAGCTTGGAGGCACGGCATACACCTTGATGTCAAATAAAATAAATAAATGACACAAAGTTTAAATAAAGTAAAAATCAGCAAACAATGTGGAACCAATTAAATAAGAACAAATGTTTTTAAAAACTTCCAAAATCACCTTAGATAAACGGCAAAAGTCAACAGGCTTTTCAAAATCCAAAATATTGCCAAACAGGCGCTTTTGCATCTAGATTCGAAACTAAATCATCCGCGATCGTCTCGTCAGTCAGCTCGACTCACTCTCCTCACCGGAGAAATGAAACCTGATCTGTGATGCGACTGTGTCAAACTCACTTTAGCGTATATATAAAACATAGAACTTTTATTAACAAAACAAATACAAATACACCATGCTATAGGGCAGGCTATGCCTAATATAAAATAACAAATAACTTACATAAAGTTTAATAGGTATACAAAACTGGAAATAAGTAAACATTTATAATATATAACCAAATAAATAAGAAACGTAGAACGTTTATTAGCAAAACGAGTAAGAAAGCTTGGCGGCACGGCATACACCTTGATGTCAAATAAAATAAATAAATGACACAAAGTTTAAATAAAGTAAAAATCAGCAAACAATGTGGAACCAATTAAATAAGAAACGAATGTTTAAAAAAAACTTCCAAAATCACCTTAGATAAACGGCAAAAGTCAACAGGCTTTTCAAAATCCAAAATATTGCCAAACAGGCGCTTTTGCATTTCGTTTCGAAACTAAATCATCCGCCTTCGTCTTGTCTGTCTCACCTCACTCTTCTTGTCAGTCAGCTCGACTCACTCTCCTCACTGGATAAATGAAATCTGATCTGTGATGCGACTGTCGTTCGGCACGCTGCACTGAGCATCCGCATTCAGTTTTTAATTGTAGTGTCTGTTCTTTTACTGAACTAAATGATTTTTATTACTATAAAAAATCAAAACGACGGTGGGGGTCGGTGCCGCGGTGGGCAAGTGATGTAACCGCTGTTGCGGCTTAACAACGGGAGTCACCGTCAGCACCGTCTATCGCGGCAAGCCTAATCTTGAGCTGCATGAACTCCACAAATTTGTGTTAAACATGATGTTGATGTTCTCCAGTGTGACTGGAGATGATTCAAAGAGTATATTGAGCTTTAATGGAAGAAGAACATCTGACTATCTATACAAAGAGTCACATTATTGTCACAAATGTACTTATTTGATTAGTGACCTGGAAATAGTGCAGAATCATAAAATACCTATTAAACATTTTACTTCATAATGTTTCTCCGGTTTTAAATCCCACTAAGCTACACCCTGTTTCAATTCCAGCTCAAACGAGAACCATGATGAAACTGCTCTAATAAAAGCGAGAAGTCAATACTGCAATATTTCATTCACTTCCTGTAAACACTACGTTAAACTTTTTGACCCTGGTTAACATAAGCTTTTTTGGTACAGCTTTGCATCATCAGCTTTTGAGTCCTATTTTTCACCTCTTTCTCCTCAAGATAGCCATCAAGGCCAAGATAAGCAGGTTTAAATGAAGTGCTATTGGCTTAGCTCCCACTCCATTCATTCTGCTGATTTACTGAATACTGATCCTAGACCAGTCTTAAGGGCAATGTTAATCTCCATTTTACAAAGAGGTTTTTCATTCCGTCAACAGTTACGAAGATGACACAGAGAGTATGCATCATGATGATAATTAAATAATTTTAATTAAAACATACATTTGGCAAACATATAACGAGAAATACACAGCAAGATGTTAGCAATGCACTAACAATTCAAGAAAAATAAAAAAAAAATTAATAAAAAACTTCGCAGTTTCAATAACCTAATCAGAATCAATAATGTTGGTGAATGAACTGTAAGATCTGAAGCTGAACACTAAATGTACACCAGTAAACCGAAAACACTTTACTGGTGGGATAATTAGCTCACCCAAATGCATTGACTAAAATAATAATTTAAAAAATGTAAAACAAGTAAAAATGACTAAAATGAATTAATATGACATGACAAAATATTCAGTCAATTAAAAATATATATATATTTTTGTCTAAAACACTTTACTGGATAATTAGCTCACCCAAATGCATTGACTAAAATAATAATTTAAAAAATGTAAAACAAGTAAAAATGACTAAAATGAATTAATATGACATGACAAAATATTCAGTCAATTAAAAATATATATATATTTTTGTCTAAACACTGACTACAACAATTGATCAAAAAAAGATCATCAGGTTTTACACAAATATGTGTAGCTCGAGTGCTGTTGTCTATTCTATTCTATTCTTTTCTATTCAACATTTCACCTATTGCTATGACATAATATTTATAATGGAAAAAAAAGTTTTAAATTAAAAGGAAAAAGTAAAAAAGTTTTACATTAAAAAAGTGAATTAAAAACTTTCACAAGTGGACCCATTTAAACTATATTGTATATTTCTTCATGTAGTTCCTCCCCCAATCAACCAGTCAGATGTGTGTGAGCAGACACCTGCATTGTGAGGCCACATATTTAACACCCACATCTCTCCGACACATGTACGTATGCAGAAAAACCAACAAGAGACAGCACAGATCTTTTAACAGAGAAACAGTAAGGAATGACTCGTAATTTAGCCAGAACAGAATCTACTAACTTTTTGTACTCACTACAAAATTTCTCGAAATGCTCATCCCTAGTGCTAAGAGCAACTGCAAAGGCCAGAATGTTAATCAAATGCATGCGCAGCATATGGTTTTTACCCCAAATACATTAATTTTACTGTCCAGTTAACTTCAGTGCATAATTAATGAATTGTAATGTATTATAAAACATTGCACTGAAATACAATACGCCAGCACACTGTGGCTTTAAGCACTTAAGACATTTAATGATATTTATTCAGCTATGATGAAAATCTCAGAAGCTAGTGTGAGGCACTACTGGGAGATAATATGAGATGATGTGTTTGTCTGGGTCACTAATGAGGCTTAAACATACCCTTCTTTGCCTCGATTATGGATTGCCAGCTCATCTGCAATGCCCTCCTCTGTTTTAAAGGCATTCCAGTCCATCTGAGACTTCTCCAAAGTGCTCATCTTCTGCTTTTTGGTCCCAATGCGATTCAAGATGCCCCCCATGCCCGCTGGCCTCTTCACACTACAGGAAGGAAGATCATAAAACATATTTTGGATCAGGATTTTCAAATATTAAAACTGTCTGTTCTAAATCGAGAGGGGCTAAAACAAGGCTCCAGTGACATTTTTGTTGGATTTTAAACAGATCTTCTGCCTCAAAATAATTTTGTTAAAAAATGCAGGAAGGGAGTTAAAAAAGGACAGTGAAAAAAAGAGATAAAATAAGTGTGTGCGTGTAATTTTATAATAAATTAATAATTGTAATTATTAGATTATTCTTGCAATAAATATGATTACTATCATTACTATTACTGTTTGTTTGTTTGTTTTTCACTTTTCTCTATCATTTCTGTCCTTTCGGTCCTTCATCCCATATTTCTTAACAAAATTACTATGATTTTAATTATTTATAAAAAAATAAAATGATGATCCAAAGTGGAAGGAGAGGCAATCTTACGCTGATGATAACATAGCTGGTATGTTTCTCACAACATGCTGCCGGAACAAAGATGTGTTTTGAACATTACCAAAGTCATCTTGACACTGAGGTTGCGCTGGGCTGCAGTAATGAAATGTTAAATGATCTGTGGAATGAAAGAGCTGAAGAGTCCAGACCAGCGACCCTCCCTCTTGCATGTGGGTGTCAGGGGGAGTGAGTGGGCTGGGGGTCTGCAGGGGGAATGGGGGGTGGCAATAGGGCCTTGGGGTGCATTAGAGGGTGCCGGGGTGTCCAAGGACAGACGGTTTCACGCTCAGGTGAGTCATAGGAGAAGGTCTGCCATGAGGAACGAGAAGGAAAACTGTGTGTACGTGGAAGATGGTAAAATTGTTTTCAGAATATGAAATGAATATAAAATATAAATAAACAAAACGATTTGGGTAGGAAGGTATTGCAATATCGGTTTAAAAACACAGAGAACAAAACTGCATCACATCATTAAAATATTCTTATATAAATCTGTTGTTAACGCTCTGTCTTGCTTCTAGCTGAATAAAAATTAATGCTATGAACTTGTATAACTTCACTGCTGGAAAAAAAGACTTCATTAGTTTCTTAATGAACGGCAAGTCACAGTTTCCTCACTGTAATCGAGTCGATTTAGCAGGACTTGTGTGTTCAACACATGGCGTGCACGTGCACACAGAGGAATGAGGCGACCCACAAACAGACACACATGACTAATGTCTAAAGGTCTGACAAAATGCATCTGCCATCTGTGCAAAAACTGTCAACATTATTCAAGGAGGAAAACAGGGAGGTGAAAAATGCAAAATGAAAAAATGGAAACAAAGAAGACTGCTTTAACATCTGCAGGTAAACAACTACTCTTTGTTTATTAATAATATTTTCCACATTCTTTGGCTATTTTCTTACAATATCTGGTCATATTCATCTATAAGTAAGTAAAAATTTAAATATATTATAAAATATTATTTAAAAACTACAGCATCATTTGTTATTGGTGTTGCACATTCCTTTGTACATTCTACCTCATGATGCCCACTGCACTGATATGGTCACTGACCGTATGTTTATATATTTACAAATACCTCATTCTGAATACTGCACCTTCTGTGTTTTATACTTCTCATTTTCACCCTACTGTACTGTATCCACATTGCAATATATTAATGTAGATTTAGACTGCACCTTGCACTTTATTTCATAGACAAACTGCATTGAGCTGGTCTCTGCACCTGTCCCTCGCAAATGTATATACACACATATATATTTATATACATATTTACACTTATTATACACAATGGCGTTTCAATTCCAGCTCAAACCAGAACCATGGTGAAACCGCTGTAATAAAAGTGAGAAGTCAATACTGCAGTATTTCATTAACTTCCTGTAAACACTACTTTAAACTACTTGACCCTGGTTCACATAAGCTTTTTTTGGTACAGCTTTGCATCATCAGCTTTTGAGTAAAGTCCTATTCTTCACCTCTTTCTCCTCAAGATAGCCATCAAGGCCAAGATAAGCAGGTTTAAATGAAGTGCTATTGGCTTAGCTCCCACTCCATTCATTCTGCAGATCTACTGAATACTGATCATAGACCAGGCTGGAGGGCAATGATAATCTCAATTTTACAAAGAGTTTTTTCATTCCGTCAACAATTGCGAAGAAGAGTGTGCATCATGACGGTAATTAAATGATTTTAATTCAAACATACTGTTGGCAAACATATAACAAGAAATATAAAACCAAAAAAAAAAAACAGTTGTTTCAACCTAATCAATATCAATAATGCTGGCAGATAAACTGTAAGAGCTGAAGCTGAACCCTAAGTGAACACCAGTAAACACTTTACAAGTGGGTTAATTAGCTCACCCAAATGCATTGCCTAAAATTAAATACCATTTTAAGTGAAAATGACTAAAATGAATGAATATGACATGACAAAATTATCAAAACACTGACTAAAACAAATGATCAAAAAAGATCATCAGGTTTTACTTGTGTAATGTGTGCTATTGTCTATTCTATTCCATTCTATTCTATCCAACATTTTCACCTATTGCTATGCGTTACTGTAATGTCATTTATAATGGAAAAAAAAGTTTTAAATAAAAAGTGAATTAAAAACTGTCACAAGTGGACTCATTTAAACCCTACTGTATATTTCTTCATGTAGTTCATTCCCCAATAAACCAATCAGATGTGTGTGAGCAGACACCTGCATTGTGAGGCCACATATTTAACACCCACATCTCTCCTACACATGTACGTATGCAGTAAAAACCAACAAGAGACAGTGCAGATATTCTGACAGAGAAACGGTAAGGAATGACTCATAATTTGGCCAGAACAGAATCTACTTTTTTGTACTCACTACACAATTTCTCCAAATGCTCATCGCTACATCAGTGCATAATTAATGAATTGTAATGTATTATAAAAATTGCACCGAAACATAATATGCCAGCACACTGTGGCTTTAAGCACTTAAGACACTTAATGATATTTATTCAGCTCTGATGAAAATCTCAGAAGCTAGTGTGAGACACTAATGGGAGATAATATGAGATGATGTGTTTGTCTGGGTCACTAATGAGGCTTAAACATACCCTTCTTTGCCTCGATTATGGATTGCCAGCTCGTCTGAAATGCCCTCCTCTGTTTTAAAGGCATCCCAGTCCATCTTAGACTTCTCCAAAGTGCTCATCTTCTGCTTTTTGGCTCCGATGCGATTCAGGATGCTCCCCATGCCCACTGGCCTCTTCGCACTAGAGGAAGGAAGATCATAAAAGATATTCTCAATCAGGATTTTCAAGTATTGAAATTGGCTGTTTTAACTGAGAGGGGCTAAAAACAGCCTCCAGTGACATTTTTGTTGGATTTCAAAGTGGAAACAGATCATCTGCATCAAAATAATTTTGTTTAAAAATGCAGGAAGACAGACAAAGGAACAGGGTAAAACATATTTCGTCATATTATTTATAAAAAGATAAAATGATGATCCAAAGTGGAAGGAGAGGCAATCTTACGCTGATGATAACATAGCTGGTATGTTTCTCACAACATGCTGCCGGAACAAAGATGTGTTTTGAACATTACCAAAGTCATCTCGACACTGAGGTTGCGCTTGGCTGCAGTAATGAAATGTTAAATGATCTGTGGAATGAAAGAGATGAAGAGTCCAGAGCAGCGGCCCTCCCTCTTGTATGTGGGTGCCAGAGGGAGTGAGTGGGCTGGGGGTCTGCAGGGGGAATGGGGGGTGGCAATAGGGCCTTGGGGTGCATTAGAGGGTGCCGGGGTGTCCAAGGACAGACGGTTTCACGCTCAGGTGAGTCATAGGAGAAGGTCTGCCATGAGGAACGAGAAGGAAAACTGTGTGTACGTGGAAGATGGTAAAATTGTTTTCAGAATATGAAATGAATATAAAATATAAATAAACAAAACGATTTGGGTAGGAAGGTATTGCAATATCGGTTTAAAAACACAGAGAACAAAACTGCATCACATCATTAAAATATTCTTATATAAATCTGTTGTTAACGCTCTGTCTTGCTTCTAGCTGAATAAAAATGAATGCTATGAACTTGTATAACTTCACCGCTGGAAAAAAAGACTTCATTAGTTTCTTAATGAACGGCAAGTCACAGTTTCCTCACTGTAATCGAGTCGATTTAGCAGGACTTGTGTGTTCAACACACGGCGTGCACGTGCACACAGAGGAATGAGGCGACCCACAAACAGACACACATGACTAATGTCTAAAGGTGTGAAAAAATGCATCTGCCATCTGTGCAAAAACTGTCAACATTATTCAAGGAGGAAAACGGAGGTGAAAAATGCAAAATGAAAAAATGGAAACAAAGAAGACTGTTTTAACATCTGCAGGTAAACAACTACTCTTTGTTTATTAATAATATTTTCCACATTCTTTGGCTATTTTCTTACAATATCTGGTCATATTCATCTATAAGTAAGTAAAAATTTAAATATATTATAAAATATTATTTAAAAACTACAGCATCATTTGTTATTGGTGTTGCACATTCCTTTGTACATTCTACCTCATGATGCCCACTGCACTGATATGGTCACTGACCGTATGTTTATACATTTACAAATACCTCATTCTGAATACTGCACCTTCTGTGTTTTATACTTCTCATTTTCACCCTACTGTACTGTATCCACATTGCAATATATTAATGTAGATTTAGACTGCACCTTGCACTTTATTTCATAGACAAACTGCATTGAGCTGGTCTCTGCACCTGTCCCTCGCAAATGTATATACACACATATATATTTATATACATATTTACACTTATTATACACAATGGCTATTTGCACTTCTGGTTAGATGTTAACTGCATTTCATTGGCTCTGTACTTGTACTCTGCACAATGACAATAAAGCTGAATCTAATCTAATCTACATTTATTTACATTATATTATAAAAAATATATTAATTATATAACATTTATTATATTATATTTGTCCAATGTTTTATATATACATACATATAATTATATATATTATATATTATGTATATATAAAAT